TTGCAGACAGCAGGCCTTGTTCAGTATGCCGTGGCTCGAAAGAATATCATTCCCCTCTGGGATCGCGGTGAAATAACTCCTAGCCAGAGTGTTGCTGCCTTCACACTATGTTCACATGTTTCTGTGGCCTATGCCGATCCCCAGCCTTAAACATGTTATAGCTGAGTGAACTCCAAAAGATGCCACTAAAACTGTGATCTCTACGTGGGAAGACTCTTTATATGTTTGCATTGTGTAAAGAAATGCACAATATTATCTGCCAAAGTGTAGATGTACAGTGCCTTAGAATATACTCTAACATTACCCTTTGCTTTGTTTTAAGTCTAAAATCAGTTTTGTGGATGAAACAGGCAAAAAGAACTCACCAGTATATTTATACTTGGTATATCTTCACATCTGAGAAATCATGTTTCTTATAATTGGTACACTCCTGGAAACAGTTTGTTGTCGTTAAGTGGCAGTACACACATGTTAAATTATTATACAGGTTATATTTTTCTCTAACGCTGTAATATGTTCCTAAAACATCAGCCTTTTTTCAAAGAGTGTAATATAAACACAGAATTACTGCCTTTCTTGTTGTAAACGACCAAAAATACAGAGATACAGTCATCTTTTGTCATGTCCTGCATGGTAGCAAGGAAGTGCCTTTGGTTTAAAAATTTCCAGCTTCAAAAAGATCAAACAGATCAAACAAATTAAAAATTACATGTTGCTAGACCAAAAATGAGACATAAGTGAAACCAATCACCACATTGCCTTTTTAAAGGATTGTAATGACAGCAGGGGACAGCTGGTTACTGGTAAAATAAATAAATGATACATTCATTTTTATTTACATTGTACATTGATTTCAAAAATTATGTATTAGAAGAAAACCTATTTCTTTGCTTGAGGTCAAAGCCTGAAAGACCTGCTGATAATGTACAGCCGCTGACTGCATGCAGGATGTCAACTCCTACAAACACTACAGCTGTCTGCTTCTTGCACACTTGCAGGTTCAAGTGTTTTTTAAAAAAAAAGGGTTTTTGGAAACATTATGGTTTCCTCTTTCCCGCGACCGCATGCTCGCACGATGTGAAAACCACAGTAAACATCACATTTTTTGCAATGTTACCTTTGATGATGCAGACGCAGCTGTGATGTGGACAAGGCAGGGACCACACAAGCTTTTATCATTTATTATCTATCAGAACAAAAAAAGTGAAAGTTTATTTAATAGTATTTCTAACAGTACACACTGTTTTAATGTTAAATCTGAAATTGTTTCCAAAACCTGTTTGAGATGCTGTTTCAAAAACTAATTTTTCACAACTGCTAATGTGGACGAGGCCGTCGAGGTTAATACTTTTCACTCGCAAGGACCATAGCTACTCAAACATTTACCGTTTCTTACAAAAGATTATAATCATCTAAAGTATTTTAACCGAAGAAGCTCTAAATAATTGCAGACAATGTCTCTGGTGGATGCAGATAAAGTTCAATCATTCAGTATTTTTGCCACAGTCCTGTGGACACTGTGGAGTTTTAATAGGATTTTTTTTCTTCTTATGTTTACCCTGTGTATCTGTTCACATTTATTGATTACTTAGTAAGATGTTCCGGTTTTCTTATTGTACTCGTATACAGTTGTACTTGGTTTTGTGATGACATTGTCTGAATATTGCAAGCCCAATAAGATGGTAATGATGTTGCTGCTGCACTGCTGGTACATTTTGACATGTCGTTTCAACACTTAAAAAACAGCAGGACTGATGCCTGTGATGGCACCAAGGTCTGGTGGACCATTTGAAGAAAAAAAATGGACATGTTAAAAAAAAATAAAAATCAGCTAAGTTGAGGAATATGCTACAAACATATCAGCAGTTTAGCTCTTGTTATTTGTAATTCCGTTGAAGAGTAGGTACTGGTACCTTTTTGTTTTATGACCATTTTCAGATGGTGGCTTTAAAGTGATTTTTCACATAGCTCAGATATAGTTATCATACACACATTTGGGTTTTGTGTGCAGACTTGTTTTTTGTAAAAAGGTGCTTTGTACAAAATCTATATCTTATATCTTAGCTTTTCTTGGTACAGATGTGTGATATCTTTTCGTATCCATGACAGTAAAAAGTGTTGGAGCAAAGGAGAGAAAGAAGCTCTGTGATGTTTCTGTGTTCTGCATATGGTCTTGTCTTGGCTCTGTAACATTATGATGCCTTCTTGATAATAGTAGATATTTTGTAGCTTTCTAGATACTTTGTATGTATGCAATATTGAAGTTAAATAAATCTGAAAAATATTGCCTCCTTTTGTTGTCGCTTCAGTTAAACATTTCACATAAGTTTGTGTATTCACTCATAAAGTATTATTACAGACATTATTCTGTGTGGTATGGACTGAGGCACTTGACTCCATTTCACTCTTTGACTGCAAAAACCTCAGATCAACAGTAGATGGAGCCTGTCACTTGCTTTATATTTAACTGTTTAACATGTAAAGGGAACATATTTAATGTACGCCACTGTATTAACAGTGCAGTAACAGAAACCACCACCAGAGGAAGACATTGTGTAATTAAAAGCAAATGCATTCTGGGTTTCTTCCTTTTGAGTTAAAACTACCCACTCATTAAAGCACCAGTAAACTGTAGCTTAATATAAATTGTGTAATTAAAGTGAGTCACATACAACATTTAAAAGCAAACCTTTGGCATTGTAATCCAAATGTGTGACGGAAAGCAGAATTAGTTAAGAGATCAAATTCTAAAAAAAGGCCCAAATAATAATTATTGCTTAAAAACAACTGTCTGTTAGTTTAGGAATGATATCAGCTCTTTCCTGTGGCTTTGAATTAGTGGTGAAGTAACTCTTGTGGAGGCAGTTAGTGCACTTTCCAGATGGAAGTTCACACAGACAACTTTTATTCTGAAAATTGTGATTGTTAACCTGATTAACTGGGCAAGAGGGGTTCTCACAACACACTGCTGGTACAAATTAGGCATTTGAAAGAGCTCAAAGACGAAGGTCTTCTTGCAGGATAAATGAAAAACTACCTAACAGAGTTAAATAAATAAAGAAACTGAATACTTTTGGAGTATGTAGTGCCACCATGTGGTCATTTATATAAAAAAATGACAGCACCATTGATAACTTCTGTACTGTGAGGGGTATAAGTGAGTCATATCTAAAGAAGCCATAATAGTCCCATGATTTCAGTAAATATCAGAATGATTTTCTATGTACTTGGAAGCAAATCAAGACAATAACATGTGGGTGGTTAAAGCAAAGATCTAATCCATCAAAGGAACAAGACCAGTCATATATTGTAACACCATCAAGATGCATGTCCTGAGAGCACTTTCTTATACCACAAGCTTATTGATAAAAGCACTATAGGGGTGTTTCAATAATAATATCTCCTGCAGGGGGCAATACAGCAACACTACAAACCAACAAAACTCCAAGGTAAAGTCTGTCTATCAGGTGTCTTTTATGAACATAGGTGAGAGCAGTTTGCTTTTCTTGCTTTTGCAATCAAATCCACATGAGGTCAAGACCAAGTGTTGAAAGTCTGAAGGGAAGTCAATGAGAAGAATCAGATAATCAGCTAAAATTCTTAACAGGTCAGGCATTTTAAAAAAACACTTGCCTTTAAGTATCAGACACACCAATCAAAGCAGCCACTGTTTCAGCTGACACATTAAATTCAATTTAGCCTTAGGCAACAATGTTTTCTCACCCCACAGCTATCATCACCAACAACTTTTAAATCTCTCTCCACTTGTGCACCTGATCTGTGCCCACTCACTCGTATCAACCAAAGCAAACTGACCCTGGATATTCAGATCACTGAACACAAAAGTGTAATCCAACAAAAGGAGAGGTCAACACTGCTCCACTCAGACGGATTGTATCTTTGGGTCACTGCCACGCGGCCTTGATGACTGTAGGAAGTATGAAGTACTGTCGCTCTCTGCTCTGTCGGAATTTATCTAATGGCTATTCATTGTTTGGAAGTGCTGATATTTTACAATGTACACAAACCAGCGGCTGCATTGGATAAGAAGGTTCAGGGGTGAAGTACACAGTTTGATCTTAAAAATCAGAGAAACAGCTGCATAATCTGTGGTTCAGATGCTTAAATCATAAGAGCCCCATTAGGAAAATCAAACACTATCATGCCATGTCCTCCTCTTGAGAATCAACACTCAATTCATTATTTTATTTCTTATTTTATGGTATTTTATTGTACTAAGTTCACTGTAGTTTTAACTTGCTGGATTTTAGTTTTTCATTCGTAAATCACTTTATAACATGAAATCTATATAAATAAAGTTTAATATTTACATTATTATAATGGTAGCAACAGCTTTGTACTGTCTGTAACATTCGTTGTTTGCACAAAAAGTCTACAATAAATTTAGAGAGAAAAGATATTTCTCTCAGGTTTTGGCTGACCCAATAAGTTAAAACGCCTGTAAACTAAATAATAACAATAATAATAACAATCACTTAAATGCAGTTTATGAAAGAATGTTTATAGTTAAATCTCACTTATCTCCCACTGCCACTGGAGGAAATGTTACTTGTATTAATTAATGTTATTTTCTTTAATGTTTTTCATAATTCTGTGTTGTATTAGTTTCTAATAGTTAAATTTAAGTGAATACATCATTTTAATAATAAGTATTTATGATGTTTTAAACACTGAAGTGTTGAAACAGTGTTTACTACACAACCCATTCACATTTCATCAGAGTGTAGTGGACATAGTGACACAATAAACCTCCAACATGCCACACACAACAGCAGCTAGTGGCTCATCTCCACACAAAAACACATCACAATATGAAGTCCTCTGTACTGACAAATTCCTTGTGGCAGTCATGTGACCACAGCAGGCTCGTGAGGGCGCAACAAAGTGTGACATGGCCTCGGGAAACAGTGCACAGAGCGAGACTTCCACCTCCACCTCCTGCAACTTCTCAGATGCGTCTGGGACGCAGCGCGCATGCACACATTGGAAATGAGTATGGACACAGCTGCGCTTTTCTCCAAGACATGCGGATTTAAATCTATTTTGAGAATGGCTTCTTTCTGACTTTTATGTAAGAGAAGAACAGTTTAGCAGACCTTCACGATGGAGTCGGAGGAGGGTAAGATATCAGTGTGGGTCTGCCGAGAGGAAAAGCTCATCTACGGCTTGTCAAAGCGCACAACCTGCGCTGATGTTGTCAAAGTGCTTCTGGAAGAACCAAACTCACAGCACGGCCTCTCCACGGCTTCCCCTTCTGGGTGCCCACAGTCTTACTGCGTCGTGGAGAAATGGAGAGGTTTCGAAAGGATTTTACCGAACAAAACCAAGATTTTACGACTTTGGGTCGCGTGGGGAGAGGAGCAGAGGAACGTGAAGTTTGTGTTGGTGAAAAGTGAGGCGTCTTTGGCGAACCACGGAGCCCGGAGCGCAGAGGCGCGTGTGGTGCTCAGCAAACACAGCCCCTGTGTTACCAAGGGGACAGCGCGGTCTCCCGTGAGTGGCATCTCACCTGAGAAACAGCGTCGGATTGTGAGGAAAGCTTTCAGAAAGTTAGAGAAGCTCAACAATAAGAAGAGGGCGCATGCGGCGCACAGAGACGCGTCCTCTGCGGAAAAGATGGAAACTTTGGCTCATCTTGTGATTTCTCAAGATCACACAATCCGCCAGCAGATTCAGAGGATTACAGAGCTGGACGCAGAGATCGAAAGGTGCGAGGCAAAGGTGCATTCTGACAGAATGAAAAGACACGGGGTTAATTATGTGCAGGACACTTATTTAGTGGATGCTACTGCAGCCTCCAGCCGAGAGGGAGACAAACTGTGTTCAGCTGAGACTCTCGCCAAGTTTGAAGAGTATGTCCGGCAGTGTGAGGAGGTGGTGAGACTACAAGAGGAGCTGTGGGAACAGGAAGCCCTTACAGACATCCTCGTGATGCAGGTGCAGGAGGAGCTGAACCACCGCTGGATGCAGCGGAGGAAAGAGGAGCTGCGAAGCAAAGACACGGAGCCCGGCGATGGCGCGTCGGCCCTCCTCAACACCGAGGCAGACGCATCAGAAAACGAGCTGCTTTTGGAAAGGGAGAGGATCAGAACACAGTTAGATGCGAGTTTATACATCGGCCTGCGCCTCAACACGGATTTAGAAGCTATTAGGAGCGATTTAGAGCTGACCCAGGAGATTTGTGGGGCCAGGGAGAAGGAAATGAGGGATTTACTGGAGAAAGTGAACACGTTGGGCATAGAGGAAGGGGCGGTCAGCGAGGAGACATGTAGCTACGGGACAGATGATAAGACAGGGATGATGAGCACTTTGGAGAGGAAGATCGAGTGGGTGGAGCAGGCCAGGGGTCTGTCAAAAACTCAGTGTGTGAACGACGACGACTCAGACACCGGCTTAAGTTCTCTGCACAGCCAGGACTCAGACAGCCACCCTGTGTGGGAGTCACTGGTTTAGGGTTTTTTCCAAGAAGGACACTCATCTGACTGTTAATCATTTTTTAAACTCAAAAACGAATGAACTTGTCTCAGGGATCATAATGACTCTGAAACAAACGAAAATTTACTATATTTCTACATGGATGATAGTGAGTTTAAACTGGATTTACATTTGTATGGCACCATGATAATCCCCATAAGTTACTATTTTTATAAAAACCTTCTTAAACTAGTTTAAAAGGGACTACGATACTTTATTGTTGGGGTAATAATCTCATCAAGAAAGTTGTTTTGACAAACAAACACAAATAAATGCTGTTTTTAAAGCTTGAGTTCATTTGTTCCTCTTTACAATAACCCCAAAACTGAAACGTACTGCAGGGTGCAAGTTAAGAGTTGACATCAGATGAATGTATGAAATATGCCAAATTCACTCTGTAATATACAGCAAGCAAATAATTTCCACAATCCCTGCCATGCCAGTACACACCTCAGAGATAGCAGCCAAGCACAAAGTCAAAGGTCTCTGGGATTATTCTGTGAGTAACATATCAGCTTTCACTGTGACCCAGACACTGAGCGATAAAGAAAACCTCTTTGCTGTGAATCATGAAGTCATAATAATATCTGAAGTCAAAATAAAGGATAAGAAGTGACGTTTTATACACAGACGCAGACTATGAGGGCTTTATTCCCCCAGATGATTATATGTCTTAATGCAGGAGGAGTGCTGTTGAACATCAGGGTATTTCATATGAGTCATTCAGAGTTTTGGGACAGCAGCCTCCACATTGTATCTGCCAGCTACTGAAGAAAAACAAGGTTTCACCCCTAATTTCACCCAAATGAAAACAGAACACAGTAAAGGCCAGTTTAAGTCTTTGACGTCGTCTGAATCCCTGCACAGTCCGTCTGCCACAGTTTGACAACAGGAAGGGGCAGATTTGCTGGTGGGGTGAAAACAAAATCTTCAAATCCACAAAGCATCAGGAACAACTCTTATGTAAAGACAATTATTTGTTTGGAGGTTTTGGTCAGACTTATTTATTACTTAATAATGATTTTAGTGAGATTACTTTCTATTTAATTACACACAGTGATGCAATCTGCAGACTGTAATTCTTTCAGTAAAGCTTTATTTATACAGCACAATACAGTTACAAAGTGTTTCACAAACAAAAATATAAACATGCACATACATACACATATACATCCCCATACAGACTTATAGATATCTACACATATACATACATATATATATATATATATATATATATATATATATATACATACATACATACATACATATATATACA